TTTTTAGAAATAAGTTTTTAGTATTTTAATATAATTGCCTTTGTTCTTAATATAATGATCATTTTTAAGTTTTGATAATTTAGTTTTTAATGACTAAACAACTAACTCCCAAAATTAATGAAATTTAACAAACCCTCAAAAGTCAGCACTGACTGCTGATGAAATAGTCACTGGAAAGATCATCCTTCCGATTCCATTACATGCTAAACACCATGGAGAAAATTTTCAAATATTATTTAATTCTTACAACTAGGGGATATTATCATTATCATTTTTAAAGTAAAAAACTAAAATCAGAGTTCATCTACGCAGACACCTGGAATATAGCAAAACTGATATTTGAGCCCAAGTTAGTGTTTGTTCTTTTCAGTGCTTTCAGAAGCTTACAGTATGAGAATAGGTGAAGAAAAAGATTACTGACACTTCCTTCTTCCATTTCTTGAAATCATTTAGCCCATTCCCATTATGAACCCATAAATCCTCATTAGATAAAGGCAGTGTTGGTAACATTAATTGTTCAGGACGTTACCATGGTTACCAAACACTGCAGCCTTGACATTCCAGAAGGTGATCAGAAGAAGCTGAGATGGCCTTCTTCAACTTATATCTATTGGGATATCAAAATTCCTTTCGGAACAAAAAGAAGGATGCAACTGGAGAAACAAGTAAGGGGAATATACTTTTCTTAGCCACTTACTGGCCATTTCCTTTCCTTCCATAGGTTAGAGATTCCGCCACCAAGATCCAGCATTGCTCTTTGGGGCCATTGAGATAGCTCAGTGGACTAAAGTGCCTGCCTAGTCAAGCCTGGGGAAGCGCACAGACCACAGTTCGATCCCCGGCACCACATGTGAGCCAGCCCCACCTCCAGGGACATAGTGGCGTACACTAGTAATCCCAGAGCTGGGGAGGCTGAAAACAGGAGGATCACTATGAGTCTGATCTGTGTAGTGAGACCCTGTAACAGCCAAATACACAAAAAATTGCTCTATTTAAAATTATGAAATAAGTACAATAATTGTCATTCGCTTCACTCTTCTGTCATTTAATTAATTTACCTATTTAATTTTTTTTTCAGACAGGATCTTACTATGTAGCACAGGCTAGCCTCAAACGCCAGGACAGGAGAGTCTCAGTTCTACAAATCTTGACTCTTCATTTAATTATCACCTTGTCAGTCTAGTACCACATGCCAGCCCTCCAGTAAATCCTGTCTAAGGTTCAGTTCCAACAGAAAAAATTTTCATTTCCTTATAGAGCGGTCTCGTTTGTCTCATTGTTCCAGATGTCCTGTAGACACATCTTCAGTAACCACCTTTCTCTGGCCTGTTCCTCACGCCTATCTTCTGTAGTACCTGCTACATTCTGAGTCACTTATATGAATTAGCTTAATTCTAGATATCTTCCACTATAGATAGCAGGTAAAACCTGTATTTGTCAGATTAGTTGTCATGCTTATAATCCATTTTCCATTTTCCAAAAGATATTGCTTTTTTATATTTATTTATTTTTATTTATCACATTTATTTAGTGTGTGTGTGTGTGTGTGTGTGTGTGTGTGTGTGTGTGGCCAGCTCAGCCCACCAGGGGGCGGGGCTGGCTGGCATGTGGTGCTGGGGATCGAACCGCGGTCCCTGTGCTTTGCCAAGCTTGTTTCAAGTAGGAGCTTTAGACCACTGAGCCATCTCTCCAGCCCCTCCAAAAGATATTTCTACTAAAATATCTCCGCTATTGTATCCTCTGCCCTTGAAGGTTCATGCTATTGTTACAATTTCATCATTTTAGCAAATTGGAGGCGAAGGAAATGTTATTGTTTATGTCTAGGTGTCCTCCCAAAGTTTCATGCAGTCATGGGACTGCTTCTAGAGTTTGTGATTAATTCATGATCCAATGCTGGGATTATGAGTGCTACACTCGCCCTGGGGCAGATAATCTGCATATAAATGTAAGGAGGAGAGAGGATAGCCAGCAGCTTCAGCTGCAGCTCCTCCTTTTGGTCTTTGCTGTTTCCCCGCTCCATGAGCTGCTGCCTTCTGCCATGTGGCACTGTGCCTTCCAGCCAGCCAGATAGCACAGTGGATAAAAGCGCCTGCTTAGATAGATGCAGGGACTGGGGATTCCAGCCCCAGCGTGCTGTGCTGGCTTTTCCCCTGGGACGTGCTGAGACAGCGATTAAGACTGGGCATCGTGGCACATGCCTGTACTCCCAGCACTTCGGAAGCTGAAAACGGGAGGATCACTACGAGTCCAATCTGTGTAGGAGACCCTGTAGATCTTGTACTACATACATAAACATAAATAAATAAGCTTTTCCTTCCTTAATTTTGATTGTCAGGTATTTTGTCCCAGCAATGAGAGAAAAGTAACCAGGATAGGAAGTAAATATGGTTAGCCCACCATTTTTAAAAGGCTTATTGATGATGTAATTTCAGAATTACAGAAAAATTTTAAGACTAACACAAGGAAATTCACTATACCCTTTGCCCATAATAACCAGTTGTTAGTGTTATACAATTATTTCTTTGTTTGTCTCTTATCTATTTATCTAATATCTATTTTTCCTTAGCTGAAAATCATTTGGTCATATCACATCCTTTTATTCCTAAATATTTCCATTTGCATTTCCTAAGAACAACCCACAGTACAGGAATTAATTTAGCAAATTTTAATATTGAAAAAATATTAATATCTAGTTATGTATAATACATGTTCTGATTTTGCCAACTGTTCCCTTAATATTCTTTGCATCAAAAAATTTCCTTCCAGGATCAAGGGTTGCATTTAATGACTGTAAGTCTTTACCCTCCTTTAATTTGAAACAATTCCGCTACCTTTGTTTCGTGATGCTGACATTTTTGTAATCATACAGTAGTCAAGATGTTTTGTAGAACATCCCTTAATTTCAGGTTGCCTAATGTTGTTCCTGGGTGGCTGGTTAAGCATTTTTGGGGTAAGTGGCATTATATCCCCAAGCTGCCATAGGAAGAGGCTCATTGTGATGTTATTTTTAGCCCATTACTGGTGATGTTAACTTTGACCATTTAAGTTAGTATGCTACTTTTCTTCACAGTCAAGTTAACATTTTCCTTTTGTATTTAATAATTATTTCTGCCTGGTACCACCAAAAAGTAGAATAAGTGCTTGCCTGGCAAGCACAAGGGCCTGAGTTCAATCCCTGGTTCTGCCAAAAAAAAAAAAAAAAATTATTATTATTTTTTCTGGGCCGGTGAGATAGTTCAGCAGACTAAGCACCTGCTTAGGCAAGCACAAGGACCAGGTTTTGATCCCTGGCACCATGTGCTGTGCCAGCCCCACCCAGGCATGCTGAGCCTGCCACCAGGAACAGGTGGGTGTGATGGTGCACGCCTCTAATCCCAGCACTGGGGAGGCTGAAAACAGGAGGATCACTATGAGTCAGAGCGCTTAGTGAGACCTTGTACCAAATACATAAAAAATTAATAATTATTTCTGAGATATACTTTGAAAAGATATATAAATATTTCATTTTGTTTTGTTTCATGACAGGGTCTCATTACATAGTCCAGGCTGACCTTGAACTCACCAGGTAACCCAAACTGGTCTCAGAATGGTGGTGCTTCTCCAGCATCGGCCTCTCAAATGTTGGGATTACAGGCATGTGCCACCAGGCTTGGCTGCAAATATCAGATTCTTCATCAAACTTTAACTCACTAGTTTTAGCATCCTTTAGGAGTTCTGTATGAGTCAGTTGTTTTCATGATAGTTGCAAAGTGTTGATTTTCTAACTACAATCCTCTATGACTCAAAGTTTATATCAGTGTTTAAATGACCCATCTTTATTGAATTTTCCAAAATATTCAACTTAGTTTTTATAAGAACCAATGATCTTGTTTCATACATATTAGTTTAAATAATATTTCACAAAGTTACAAATTTGTAGTCATAAAGTAAAACCAGGATAAGTTGTTTGGAAAGAAAAAAAGTGACAGCAGACTTAGGTAAGCATGCGGTGCACCTGTGGGACCAGAATATGCAGGTGTGCTACCTAGCTCTCACCTGCAGTGGGCATGCCGAAGGCACTCTTCAAATGTCTTCTGAAGACGTGAAGATCACACCCTAATCCTGCAAGCCTAGTAAAAGCAAACATTTTAGAAGAATGTCTGCTATATGTAATTTTGAGATGTTCATATTTAATGTTCTTTAATACATCAAGAAATTGGGTCATCTTAATTATTAATAAAAACTTCCTTGTTCTGGACCAAGAGGGAGACTCCTAAGTATTTACCAAACTCACTCCGTGTGTCAGGAGGCACAGCAGAGGAGAACAGCAGGTGCCTCTCCAGACACAATTAGGGTTTAGCCTTTCTTGAAATATCACCCAAAGATAATGGGATGTGGCAAAACTGACAAGCTGTCCTAAAATTCAGATGGAAATGCAAGGAAGGAAGAATAGCCTCGGTAATAATGAAGAAATGGAGTTCTCAGTTTAAACTATCCTACAAATATATAATAAGACAGTGTGGTACTGGCATAAGAATTGATGTATGAGTCAGGCATGGTAGTGCGCACCTGGAACCCCAGCGCTGGGGAAGGTGGAGCGTGAGTGCAGCAAGGTCAAGGTTGGCCTGGGGCACAGAGCTCAAAGCCAAGGTGGTATAAATAGCAAGATCCGACTCACAAGAAAAATGAAAACGTTCGATCCCCAGATCTGCAAAATAAATAAAAATGAAAAAAGAATTGACACATATAAACCAGCAATGGTGAGGCACACACTTGGAGTCCCAGCACTTTGGAAGACTAAGGCACCACTGTACATTCTTTAAAGACACTTGACTTTGGTGTTCACTGTCTCTAGCAAGGCAACCTGTTCCCATGTTCAAATCCTACCTGGCTCCTGAGAGGAGCCTTTAACAGCAACTATAAAAATGAGTCTATTAATATTCACCCTTTTCATTTCTAACACTCTTATTGTCATATTTTTAAGTTATTCACAATTTTTCTTTGAAGGGTAGGTTTTATTCTCCCAAGTAGGTATGAGTGTATCAACATTAACTAATAGGAGCCCACTCAAGATTTTCTTATTATAATCATAAGGAAAACTCACAGAGGTGAGTCAACACATGTAATAAAGCATCCTGCCAATCACTGCCTCCTCCTTTCCTTTCTCCACTGCTCCTGAGCCAAACTAGAAAAGCCAAGGAGGAAAACAGTGTGGGCTGTATACGTGGTCTACCCTCAACTTCAGAAATTCCACTTTACAAGATACCAAAATTGTTCAGTTTGAAGGGGCTAATTCACGCTAAACAAATTCACAGTGCCTCGGTTCCCCTGGATGTAAGTGGAGATGATGTCTTTTATTATGGAGATAAAGTAATGTATGTCATACGCCCAAGACCTATCATAAAATTGTACAATAGATGACCAGGGGCTGGGGTCTAAGAGCCTGCCTGGCAAGCTCAAGGACCCAAGTTTGATCCCCAGTACTACATGCTGTGCTGGCCCTGGAACACTTAGTGCTCTGTGCAGGCCCTGAAACCAGGCGTGGTAATGCATGCCTGTAATCTCAGTGCTGGGGAGGCTGAGGCAGCAGGATCACCATGAGTGGGAGCTGCACAGGGAGACCCTGTACCAAATAGATAAATAAATAAATAAATAATTTTTTTAAAAAATTAAATTCCCGGGGCTG